GGGGCACACAGTCAGAGAACACTCCAAAGTCTTCCAACTACTACTTGATCCATAACCATTGAGCACAGCAAGAAGCAACTGCTACATATTCCGCTTATGCAGTTGAGAGTGCCACCGAGTTGTGCCTCCTTGTACCCCATGAGATTAGACAAGAACCCAGGAAATATGCCATTCCAGACATGCTTTTCCTGTCCACCAGATATCCTGCATAATTAGCATCAGCATACCCAATAAGATCAAAGTTGTCTCCTGAGGGATAGTAGAGAACCAGGTCCTGCGTTCCTTTGAGACATCTCAATATTCTCTTGGCAGCCTTCAGATGATATTCCTTTGGATTAGATTGAAACCTTGCATAGAGACCCACGCTGAAAAACAATGTCTGGACTACTTGCAGTGAGATACGAGAGTGACCCTATGATCCCTCTATTCATGGTCTGATTTACAGGGGAACCGGGTTTATCCATGTCTAGATGAGTAGCTATGGCAATAGGAGTGTCAATAACTTTTGATGCTTCCATGTCAAACCTTTTCAGCAGCTCCTTGATGTACTTATGCTGACTTATCAATGTTCCCTTTTGAGATTGCTTGTCCCATGAAGAAATTTAATTCTCCCATCATACTCATCTCGAACTCACTCCCCATGAGTTTTTCAAACTCTTCACAAAGAGAGTCAGCTGTGGCTCTAAAAATGATATCATCAACATATACTTGCACAATGAGCAGGTTCCTCCCTCGTTTCTTCAGAAAAGAGTGTTGTCAATTTTCCCTCTTGTAAAGCCATTTTCTAGAAGGAACTTTGACAACCTTTCATACAAAGCCCAGGGAGCCTTCTTTAGCCCATACATCGCCTTGTCCAGTTTGAACACATGCTCAGGATGCTTGTGATTCTCAAATCCAGGTGGTTGCTTGACATAAACTTCTTCTTTTAATAAGCCATTTAGAAACGCACTTTTGACATCCATTTGGAACAGTGAACTCCATATGTGATGCAAAGGCAATAAGGATTCTGATATCTTCCATTCGAGCAACTAGAACAAAAGTTTTATCATAGTTAATCCCTTCTTCTTGATTATTACCTTGAATTACCAGCCTTGCCTTATTTCTTGCTGTGTATCCAAACTCATCAAGTTTGTTCCTGAATACCCACCTGGTTATAACAGTTCGATCTGCAGGTCCAGGAACCGGGTGCCATACTTTGTTCCTTTCAAATTGATTCAGCTCCTCTTGCATGGCATTGATCCAGTCTGCATCTTTCAATGCTTCTTTGATATTTTTGGGCTCTATTTGAGAAAGAAAAGTTGAGAAGGCAAGTGTGTTTCTGGTCTTTGATCTGGTTTGAATTCCTGAATCAAGAGGAGTGATGATGTTATCAAGGGGGTGTGAACTTTTGTGTTTCCAGTTAGACACCTGGACCTTGTTGTGAGAAGGTCCAGGTATTTCTGCTTGTGAGCCTTGATTGCTTCTCGTCTTAGCATGTGGGGTTCCTTGAACATCATCGACAACTCTGTTTTCAGCTTCAGTTGTTGTTTTGAGGAACCGGGCTCCTCTCCATCAGTTGGAGATATAGTTACACCATCCTCATTTGATTCCTCAACGTGGCCCATCATATCAGCCTTTCCATTTACCATGTCAATGATTTCACCAAGGACCAGTGGTTGTTCTTCGTCTTGATCATTCTTATCATTCAAATCCTTTCCACGTGGATCATGAGATTCATTGAAGATCACATGAATTCTTTTCTCAACACATTGAGTTCTTTTGTTATATACTTTGTAGGCTTTGCTTTGTGATGAATAGCTTAGAAAGATTCCCTCATCGCTTTTGACATCGAATTTTCCAAGAGCTTTCTTTCCATTGTTGAGGACAAAACATTTACACCCAAAAGTCCTTAGATGTGTCAGCTTGGGCTTCCTTCCATTCAACAGTTCATATGGAGTTTTGTTCAAAAGGGACCTGATCATGCACCTGTTCACCAAGTAGCAAGCAGTATTGACAGCTTCTGCCTAGAAATTCTTTGCAATCCCACTGTCAATCAACATTGTCCTTGCCATTTATTCAAGAGTTCTATTATTCCTCTCCACAACACCATTTTGTTGAGGTGTTATTGGAGCGGAAAAATTGTGAGTGATACAAATTTCAGTGCAGTACTCATCAAATTTGGCATTATCGAACTCTGTTCTATGATCAGACCTGATGCAAGCTACCTTATTACCCATCTTCACTTGGATCTTTTTGACGAAGGCAACAAACACTTCAAAAGTTTCATCCTTGGTTATGAGAAACGAAGTCCAGGTGAATCTGGAGTAGTCGTAAACTATAACGAAGATGTATTTCTTTCCTCCCCTGCTTGGCACCCTCATAGGTCCACATAGATCCATGTGCAGAAGATCAAGTATCCTTGAGGTACTGACTTCTTTTTTGGGCTTGAATGAGGATCTGACTTGCTTCCCTTTCACACATGTATCACACACTTTGTGATCCTTGAAGATTGACTTGGGCAGACCAAGAACCAGGTCCTTCCTGACCAATTTGTTTAGCAATGTGAAGCTTGCATGGCCTAGCCTCATGTGCCATAATTCAGTATCATCATCAACAACTTAGACAGCTGAGATCACCATTCTGCAGAGACTCAAAATTAGCAACATAGATATTTTTGTATCTTTTTACCACTAACACCACCTCACTAGTCACTAGGTTTGTGACTGTATATATTTTTGACACAAATTCCACCTTGTTTCCCTTGTCACAAATCTTGGAAACACTTAGCAAGCTGTACTTCAACCCGTTCACGTAGTACACATTTTTGATTGAGTGAGAGAGAGAGGCTACCCAATCCTTCTAACTCCTAGAATGTATCCTTTCTTGCCATTTCCATACGATACACTCCCTCCCTACAGGTCCTTAAGTGAAAGGAAATCATTTGTACTTCCAGTCATATGCTTTGAGCAGCCGCTATCCATGTACTATTGTAGGCTGCTCCCTTTCACTGTTACCTGCACAAGAAAATTAGGAGTTAGACCTAGGAACCCAAACGAGTTTGGGTCCTTTGTAATGAGGAAAGTGGTGAATGAGGATCTTCTGGTGCAAGCAGGCATCATGCGTTTTTTATATGATGAACCAAGTTCTCTACCAGTAGTTACTTTTTCAGCAAAAACTTTGTCTTTCTGTTGTGACGACATCTGGCCTTGCAGTTTTCTTTAAAATGCCCAGTATTGCCACAGTAAGTGCAAAGCCAATTGTCAGGTATAGTAACATACTATCACAACCCTAAACCCAGACCCGGTCGTGATGGCGCCTCTCGTGAAGACAAGGCCAGCCGACACAAACCCCAAGTTCAATTAACAGATATAATGATTCATAATCAAGCCATTAATAATGATAAATCCCAAAATAAAGCGAAATATATCAACTGCGAAAAAAACAAACACAGCCCGACTTCGGGGTGTCACAAGTCATGAGCATCTACTAAGGTCTGAATGCAACTAAGATTCTAAAAATGTACTAAATGCAGTCTAAGGAAGACCAGAAGGAGAAAAGCAGTGCTGCGAATGCCGGGCAGCTAGCTTGCTAACTCCGATGACTCTGCCACTGAGCAATCAACACCCGCTACCGGGTTCAAAATAATACCTGAATTTGCACACAAGGTGCAGGAAGTAATGTGAGTACGCCAACTCAGTAAGTAATAAAAGTAAATGAAAGCTGAGCAGTAAGAAAACACGTAAGCCACGTCACAACACTACAACAAATACAATACATTTCCAAAACAGTACAGAAATCATTTACTCCGTAAATCATGCTCAATTTTAGTAAAAAACCATTTTAAATAGCTTTCAATAGTTTCAAAGCGAGTGATAAAAACAGTGAGTAAAAAAATGATAGAAACGTAAACAGCCCCTCGGGCAAAACATGTACCATAAACCGCCCATCGGGCATAATATCAAAAGAACCAGCCCCTCGAGCTACCTCACAATCACTTGTAATCAGCCTCTCGGGCATAACATGAATCAAGAACCGCCCCTCGGGCAACATTGATCAAGAAGAGCCCCTCGGGCTTCAATATGAAACAACAACAGCCCCTCGGGCTATAACACATCACACACACTGGGTACCCGCGCTCACTGGGGGTGTACAGACTCTAGGAGGGGCCTCTTACGGCCCAAGCGCAATAACAAGCCATCTCGTGGCATAATCAATCCGGCCCTTGGCCTCACATAATAAATAGAATCATCACACTGGGTACCCGCGCTCACTGGGGGTGTACAGACTCCTGGAGGGGACCCTTACGGCCCAAGCGCAATATCAAGCCATCTCGTGGCATAATCACTAGGCTCTCAGCCCCATATCAAGCCACCTTGTGGCATACAACTTAAGCCCTCAGCCCAGGGTTATTAAAAACGCTCTCTTCTCGCTTTAAGCGACGAAGCGAGGCGAGGTGCAGGGGTTACGCTTTTCTGGGAAAAGAGCGACTCACATTAGAAAAGCGCTCGCTTTTCTCGCTTAAGCGAGAAGCGACGCTTTAAGAAAAGCGATAAAAAGCTCGCTTAAGCGAGCAGAAGGCTGAAACTAGGGCTTTTTTAAAAATTTTGGGGAAATAAACATACGCTCCAAAGGCATCTGTTACCAAAACATATGCGACAGACCACTGCTGCTCAGCGAACTCCAGCGTCTTCTTCTCCAGCCCAGCGAACGACCACTGCTGCTCCAAAACAGGTATCTTCTTCTTCATGCTCTGTTTTTTGTCTTCTTCTGTTATTCTTCTTCTTTTCTGTTTTTCTTTCAATTTTTTTCTCTAGATTAAGCTCTCATATTTTGCCCTAAATGACTTCTTTTTGTTCTGTTATTAAAAGTATTGTTTATGCTCTGTTTTCTTCTTTTATGCTCTCTTTATGCTCTGTTTCTGTTATTAAAAGTGTTGTTTATGACTTTATGCTCTGTTTTCTGTTTAGGGCAGTGAATTTTTTTTTGGTTATTGATTGTAGTAAATTTAATTTGATTATTCAATGGCATCAAGCCAAAAAAGAGATCCAGCTTGGGCGTATGGAGTTGCAGTTGGCAATAATAACTCAAGAGTGCAATGTATCTTTTGTCAAAAAATTTATAACGGTGGAATACATCGTCACAAGAGACATCTAATCGGTGGTTTTAGAGATGTCAAAGAATGTCCAAGTGTTCCGGTTACTGTTAAGAAAGAAATGAGAGATTATGTTGAGAAAAAAAATGAGTTAAAAAATCCAATGAGCCATGGAGCATCTATGATGAATCTTCTTGATGAAGATACTCAAATGGATGAGGATGACGATGAAGTCAATGATATAATGAGGCCACCTCCCTTTAAATCTCAAAGAAAGAATTCAACAAGTGGAAGTGGATCATCCACCACCGGTAGCAATGTGAAAGGTCCTCTTAATCTTTTTTTCTCACAAAAACCAAATGAAAAGAGAAAGGGTGAAGCTGACTTAGAATCTTGTAGGGAGAGTTTGAGGGAGCGTGCTGTAGATGCTTTTGCAAGGTGGATGTATGATGCGGGGCTTCCTTTTAATTGTGTGAATTACACTGATAGTTTTGGGGAATTCATTGAGGCCGTTGGCCAATATGGCCCGGGAATGAAGCCCCCTACCTATCACGAAGTAAGAGTTCCTTGTCTAAAAAAGGAGGTGGAGAAGACAGACAAGATTGTCGAGGAGCATAAGGCGCAATGGAAAGTTTATGGTTGTTCCATTATGATGGACAAATGGACCGCAAAAAATGGAAAAATGGTCATTAATGTTTTGGTGAATTCTCCGAGAGGTAGTGTGTTTCTTGAATCTTATGATGCTAGTGACTCCTCAACCGATTCCAATAAAATGTTCAACTTGTTTGAGAAGACAATATTGAAAGTCGGACCGGAAAATGTGGTTCAAGTTGTTACTGATAACGCTAGTGAGAATAAAAAAGCGGGTGATATGTTGAAAGGAGTTCTCCCAAGTATTTATTGGACTCCTTGTGCTGCACATTGTATCAACTTGATTTTTGGTGACATTTTCAAGCTAGCCCTATATTCTACAGGTGAACAAGTGGTTCTTATTTTCTATTTTAAGTTTTTAACCTTCATGTTAAATATTTCATACTTATTAACTATGAAATTTGACTTCCTACAGTTTTTGCTAAGGCGGTCAAGATATATTCTTACATTAGTCAAAGGCCGTTGTTGTTGAACATGATGAGGAGATACACAAAAGAAAGAAATTTGGTAAAACCGGCTAAGACAAGATTCGCAACAGCTATCATGACTTTGCATAGCTTTTACCTGCAAAAGAAAAATTTGCGAACCTTGTTCATGTCAACCGAATGGAGTGAGAGTATCTATGCAAAGGAAGCTATTGGGAAAGAAGTTGAGAGATTTATTATTGGTCCATAATTTTGGAATGACATTGTTCAAGCACTTAAAGTTGGTAGTCCTTTGATTACTGTACTTCGTTTGGTAGATGGGGAGAAAACACCACCAACGGGATACATTTATGAAGCCATGGATAGGGCTAAAGAAGCTATTGAGAAGGCATTTGAGCATAATAGGAGGAAATATGATAGAGTGTTTGAAATCATTGATAAAAGGTGACGGATCAGCTTAATCAACCTTTACATGAAGTAGGGCATATTTGAACCCCGGTATCTTTTATACAATAACGAGAAGAGACTTTAGA